AACTTCCATTCTTAAAGCATTTAGTAAGTTAACCTTCTTTTTTTTTTGTCACAGTTAACCCTTCTTCTTAATGTAAATAAAAACTCTATCTTTTTAAAAATTTTGATTTGTTCTATTTTTAAAATTTTTATAACTCGGTTTTAAGAAACCCTAGCTCATGCTACCTCCATAATTTCTTATATCTAAAATAGTCTAGGGTTTAGAGTCTTTAGACCACGTTGCATTGTTCTTCGTTGTTAGTTGTTTTGTCAGTCACCTCCGTTATTTCTTAGTTTGTGAGTGTGGTCCTTTAATGAGTTAACATGGAATGAATTCAAGCAATGGGAACGTGAAAAATAGACTTGAAATTGTATCGGGTGATTTGTTGAGTATTTTAATGTTCTGGAGATTATGTAAGATGATGGTATCAAAGTGAGAAGTGTGGTGTCTGGTCTAAGGTAGCTTTATGGTATCGAGGTACGTTGTCTATTTTATTTGATACGATTGTTTGATTTATATTTTTCTCTTTTTTTAAGATAAAAAACCTGTAAATGTTTGTCAATTGGGACGTCAATTTTGTAGTCCATGCTGATGGGCCTTTCGAACAAGCTCATCTATGCGCCCATAAACGTTTTTGAAACTACCGTAAAGAAGAAGGTTAGGATAAGATAAACCTATTTTATGTGACAAAATCTTACATTGGTTGTAGGAACGAGTTAGATTATTATATATTGATATGTAAACATGTTTGGTGGATGTGCAGTGTGAATTTTGCGTGCAAGCTCTCCTATGTTTGTCTAAGAAGGCGCAAAGGTTAAAAATTGGATTGTTGGCGACCCTTTTGATAGCACTACTCAAGAAGGACCTCAAGTAAAAAAAACGACTAACTAATTATACGATGATTGGTCTTGAGTCGTAGATTACATTTGATTTTTTGGGTTTCTTTAGGTTGATAAAAAACGTCCAAGAAGGCATATACGTTCGATAGATGTCTTATTTTTCTGTGTTGCTTTCCAGGCTTGAGTGAGCTTCTCAGACTACGAGATAAGAGTCCGGTTTTAACCAAAATAACTCCGTAAATAAGTGAACGTGAAATCCAGTCCATGTATGATGGGTGTGTCCGAACTGGTATTGTATGTCTCTGACTTTTTGTGTATTGCAAGGTGCATATATATTGGTCACTTTTATCTATCTGCCTTGATTTTACGAAATTTGATGATCAAAATCAAAGTATATATATGTTGTCCCATGATTAAAGCTAGAGCCCTAGAGGTGATGAGCATCTCCTTAACCATTTTGCAGTAAAGCCAAATTGAGAAGATAACTACGAATTTGACTTTAAAACTGTAAACTCCATGATATTTTTCTTAAATGAATTGCGAAATAGCTAAATATGTGTTGATTTTCTGCTAAAAAAATTTGCAAAATCATGAAACTGAGGTAATAAAATCATATGCTATATTGTTGACAGATGTACCAAGAAAGTATATTTACATTTTGTTATTGTTGCTATTAAATTAAGCCGGTTACAAGTATGATACTAGGCAAGTATGTTGTGTTGGTGGTTTAGGGGTTTGCCGACGCCGGAGAGGCAGAGAGCTTATGGACAGTGCCGGAGATGGAGACGACAGAGAGATTATGGAGAGGACATAGAAAGGCCAGCTTGCTCTAGTATAAAGAGAAACGACAAAACCGTCTTTTCTCCAAGCGGATTCGATACCAAGTTCGAAAACTCAACGAAAAGAAACTAAAAGAGCAGAAAAATTATAAAGAGAGGGTAGAAGAGTGTATGTGTATGTGTGGATGGAGAATAGATGATGGCATAGGCGAATCTACTTGCATTGAGTAGGTGGCAAGTGCCCCCACTCAAAATTTTATAGCTAAAGCAATTTCCTTAAGAGACAAATTATTGCCCCCATGCCAAATTTTATTTTTGCCCCCATCAACTTTTTAATCTCAAATTATTGTAGAAAGATAACTTTAATGGCTCCACTTCTATGAAATTTATTAGTATTAATTTATTTATTCAAAGGCATCTAAACTTAATAACTTGATTTCCTAATGCTAGAGTTCCACATTCCTTATAAGTTTAATCTAAACTTCGTTTTACTCATATGATTTGTTTTCAATTTAACAATACCATAGATATAAATTTTTATGAGATTAGATTCATCATTATATATGTTCTTAATTTACAAATTATAATATGAGTCATTTAAATGTTAAATACGTTCTTAAAAACAGTTCTAAAAAATCATATCGAATATGAATTTACAATAATTTTCTAATTTATTTACCTAAGTTGAGCTAATCCAATCTGTTTTGAAAATTTAAAAAACAAAAATATTTTTTTATGATAAAGATTTTATATATATTCTTTTAGTCAAAGATAAAGATTATTTATATATATATATAGTATTTAATATCTTCAGTTATTCAATATTTAAATTTTGCTCCAGTCCTAAATTTTTTTAGATACGCCACTGGATAATGGTATTGTTGATGTGATGTCATTGCCATACAATCAAAGTTTTTTAGAATAATACATATATCTAAAAGAAAAAGTTGAAGATATACTCTTAGAAATACAAAAATGTGTTGATTTTAATAAATATGATAATGTAGTAAAGATTATCGCTAATGGTGTGAAAAAAGTATGTGGATGGTTGTGGTTAAAAAAGTAGCTAATGATTTTTGGGAGTGTTAAAAAAACCTAACTCGAAAATGTTTATATAGAAAAATGTGTCTTATCACTTTATGTCCACTAAAAAAATATATAGTAGATAAGATTTTTGTAAGTAATCAGATTAAAAACTTTTGTTTTGTACAATTTTTTGAAACGATATAGAATACATAGATACACTAAAAGAAGAAATTATGTTTTAGAGGTACGGTAGCGCAAACTCAATCTATATATATTTTTAGGGTAAAATCATATGCGATCAAAAATATTTATGTTCAATTTAGATTTTACTTCTATCATTTTTTATATAATATTTTAATCAAATTAATATTAAAAAAAAAAATCTGTACAATATTATTAAGTAAAAACTTATCAATTTTAGTCTTAATCTTCTTATGGTAATAATAATAATAATCAATTATCTTGCCATTTTATTTTATCATCCATTTATACTAACACTTATCTAATTAACAAAAAATTACGAAGCCTGAAAATATGTCAAAC